ACTAAGAAAGGTTTTGTCCTTAAACTGGAAAGTTGTATTTAAAGGAAACCAGGTATATTAAATTTATAAACATAATTTTAAATATTTATAGAAATGTTTGTAAATGCAATCAAATGCTATCTAAAGTTCCCTTAGAAGAAAAAATGTTAAAATTTTCTAGACTTAAAAAAATACTATGCTAGTCCCGGGGATTTGGCTCAGTGGTGCCGCCACCTGCCTTGCAAGGGCAAGGTCCCAAGTTCGATCCCTGGTACCAAAAACAAAACAAAACAAAACTATGTTAACTTCTGTAAACTGAATTAAATACAAGGAACTATGTTTCTTAGTTTGTTGCATTAATAAATAAAATACTAATTTTTAAAACCTAAACTTGTGACTAGACAATTGTTCTTGAAGATAAAAATAATACAACAAAATGTGTATTAACAAGTGCCTATTCCAAAGAGCCATCAGAAAAAACAAGTGAGTTAATACTATGAGACTATAAGGTATTTAAGCAAGGAGTCTATCATGGACTCAAGGGTTGTTGTTACAATTACTATATTACCTGAAAGTGTCAGGAAGGTAGGAAGGAGGAATGGAGGGTGTGGACCAGAAGAGAGTATTCTACGTGAAACTTTGGATTTTCTCTCCTAAGAACTGGGTGCCCTACCATTTCACACCCACAGGGTCCCCCACTTTAGATGACGCTGCTGCAGTAATAAGGCTGCAGAGGAATGGAATGTGAAACATTAAGAACCAAAAGCAATGAAGCTGAGTAACTGTACTTTAAGTACTTGAAGGATAAGCAGGAGGCAGGAGATGATCCGAAATGACTTAAGGATGACCACTTTATCAAGATAAGAAATAAACAGAATACAGGAAAAACTTTGGAGGCTGGGCAGGCAATCGCTGGCTCAGTTACATTCATTCTGTTCACAGGTCTGAGGGCAGGCAGAGGCAGATACCCCCTTAGGGCACTGGGAAAGCAGGTGGGAAATCAGAGATTTCCAGGATGAAGCTCTGAGATGGTAGTACAGACTTGGAGACCTTTTGAGGCGACTGCTGTGACTGCAGGAAATATGAACTGCCCACAGGGGTAATGTACAGCTTATTTTAAGAAAAGCAACCAGTGAAGAAAACAGGGAAAGAAGGAACTGTAGGGAGGTAGGAGTGGGAGTAAGACTGAGACAGGGCAATTCTCTAAAATCAAGCATGAAATAAAATTCCAAATTATGATATACAAAAAGTGTTGCTGTAAACAAGCACAAATGAAATGTTTTTTACTATTCTCCAGTCAAAAATTTTTACTACCAGGGCCAGGGATTAGCTCAGTGGTTCCGTCGCCTGCCTTATAAGTGCAGGGTCCCAAGTTCTATCCCTGGTACCAGTACAAAAGGCCACATAAAAGATAAAATGTAATATGGAAGCTTGTAAAGTTTGTTTTCTACTTTTAAAAAAATCAATTCAAATTTCTATAGGAAAAAAAGCACATGTACCACAGCCAAAGCAGCCTCTTTCTCTAAAATGTTCCTTCAGCTGGGTATTTCCTGATGCTTAAAAGATAAGCATTAAAGGGCTCTCTCAATTAGTCTAAGAAAAATCTTGCCTCAATTCTAATATGTACATAATAAGCTCTAACTTTTAGCTAAATATATTGGCAGTCAGAGTTTCTAACCAGAATGACTTTCTCTTAATTTATAAAAGCTCTACCAAACAGCTTCATCTGAATAGAAGATGGAAAAAGAAAAGATTTGTGAAGAGAAAAAAAGTAAGCATTTATTCTGCCTTTTCAGTAGGAACTCCATCTTAAGGTAACCAAAAAGCCATAGTTGACAAGACAGGGAAAGCTCTCTGTTACAGAAGAATGCCAAAAAATGTAAAAGAAATAAAGGAATTTGAAAATTCACTATTTTGCAAGTACTACACAAATATTTGATTTAGGTAGAATATCATTAGAATACAAAGCCATCAAGTGAAACGTTTAAAAAAACTGCATCTGTACTGTGTCATGACATCATAACACAGGTTCCTCACTAATTAAAAACGTTTTTCATATTTAAAAAATATTTTTACTTTTAAAATAGAACACTTGCTTAGTACATATGAATGAGGTCCTGCGTTTGATGTCCAGCGTTAAAAACAGCAACACCACCACAAGGCCACAATAAAAAACACCGTATGGGAAATATCTACAATACATATAATAAACTAACCAATCTCCTCAATTTACCAGGAACGCTTTTGTGGGTTTTTGTTTTGTTTTGTTTTGGTTTGATTTTGTTTTTTTTGTAGACAGGATCTTACTACATAGTTGAGACTGACCTAGAACTCACTATATAGCCCAGGCTGGTCTCAAATTCACATCAATTTTCCTCCCTCAGCCTCCCGAGTGCTGGAATTACAGGCATGCACCATCACACCCGGCTACCAAGAACTTGTATGAACAAACCAATATAATTTGGCAGAGGATGAACAGAGAAATTAACAGAAAAAGAAATACAATGTTCAATAAATATGTGATACTAGACATAAAGAAAAGCAAATCAAAAGAACAATGGAATACTCTATCCAACCTGCCAAAAAATTAAGAATTTAACAACACCATGCATCTGTGTGGGTCTGTCACCAAATTATTGGTGAGAGGAGAAACTGATGCACTATGTACAGAACCAAAAGAAAAGAAACATTCATGTATGATGTTGTTTTTTTAAGACGGTCTCACTATAGCCCTCTAACTCCTATCCATAAGTGTCTACCACAGTGCCCAGCTCATATATATTTTTAGAAGGACAGATATGACATTAAAATTTATTGATATAAAGTACATTTAATTGTCTTAAGGTTTCAAATATAGCTCATATTTTTGGCAGGCCAAGGACCAAAAGAAAAACCACAAAAACAAAAACAAAAAACACTCCACCCCTATCCCTCTCCCTTTATCCTCTGCCCTGCTTTTCAGAAGCATTCTATCACTTCCTAGTGAAGAGATCATACTGAGGACCAGCAACTTTTCTTAGATTTTTAAGGATTAAATGAAAGAGTGCCTGTAGTGCATGGCACTAAAATACCAACTAAAAATATCAACTGATATTCCCTGGTGTGAATAATCTGCAATAAGACGTAAAATCCTAATGAGATTACTGCTATTTAGAAATGGGAAGAAAGGAGCTAAAGGTGTAGGGAAGGTGGGACGGGGAGGGGAAGGGTAATGAGGGAAAAGAAAAAAATGTGAGAGAACGAAAAGATGGAAATAAAGTGTTTGTAGATGGGGAGGGGGAGGAGGGGGTGAAGGGAGGGCAGGGACAAGGGGAAAAAATGAGAATCAGGACTTGTCATGTAGAGGTACAAGATCCCAACAATGAATGTAACTGTACTGTATCCCTAACATGTACCAATAAACTCAATTAAAGCTGAAAAAAAAATTTTTTTAAAAATCAACTGATAATGAGATGATAAATCATTATCATCATCGCATTCCACTGAATAGGTTTCAAACTTTAATCTCAAGTTCAAATAGTTCTATAATATATGTATTTTTCTTTACATGTCTTTTACTGAATTGCCTTAAATGCCTTTAAAAAGTAGGTAGGACATTTTAAAATAAATGTTACAATAGCAAGAATTTAGTAATTGCTGTTCCAAATGCATTTCCTGCTACAGGAAAGAAGTAGCAGAAAATGGACATTAGTACACCGAGCAAGGGAAGGCTGACCTCACTTAGCACAGGCAACAGTTTCACAAGGCTCAAACTCAATTACTGCTGGGAGGGGTCGTTTTCTAGCCAATCCTGATGACCTCAAACCTCAGAGAAGTGCTGATTAAACCCCTCTCGGTAAAATAAGCAAAGCAGAGCATTTTAGTTTTTACTGAAGGGAAAGAAGCATTTTTCTTGAATATAATCCCGCTTTCCTTCTGTACAGGAACATCCAAGATGACACATGGATCAGGGAGTGTCAAATCCACCTCTACCTCAGGGCATAAATAACTGACTTTCTTTACTTTTCTCACCTGCAATCTACTCACTTTTTTTGCCTCTTATCATCCCATCCACTGCTACACGGGCAAAACGGAAAAAATAATTTCCCATATCATACTCTGTCAATGACATCTGGCCAAGATTCTTCAAAGCTATCCCTGTGATCTTTCTGTATCTCCTCTCTCGCCTCTTCCACTACGACCCACTTCTCTCCACATCCCTCTACTTCTCTGGTCCAGCTCTATTACTCACCCACTCCCACTGTGTTTGTTATCATCTGTGCACATGCTGTCTTTCCTTCGTGTGTCCTGGGAGCCAAACACACGCCCTTCTCTTCAGTTTCTTATTCAGAGCATGGAGCAGGAAGCCTACTAGTAGGTACTGAAAATGCTTTGAAGTAAAGTGAATAAAATACATTGTCTACACCGCAGTCTACGGCAGGCTACGGACTGGTTATTAGAAAGACGGAGCTTGCTGGGTGTGATGGCGCACACCTGGAATCCAAGCACTCGGGAGGCTGAGACAGAGGGAGCACCTTGAGTTTCAATCCAGCCTGAACTACACTGCGAGACCCTATTTAAAAACAACAACAACAACAACACACCCTGAATTCTACTCTTGTTGATGCTATTTGGCAGTTCTGTAGCTTCATATTTAAGTGTCAATTTCCTCATCTATAAAATGGGCTTCACTTGCTCTATCAATGAATATGGTTTCAGAAAATGAGATCGTTAAAGTAAAGAGTCCTTATTGTTATGCTATTAAGAAAACACCACGGTTACTTCTAAATACTGCAACAGTGTTATTTACCAACCAAATTTCAAAATTTAAGTAGGAATACCACAGTTTTCCATTAGGAAAAGCAGATTTAGTTAATGTTTACCTGCTTTTACTTAGGGAAAAAAGGCTTTAAGTAGTGGTAAGAGATGGATTTCTATTATGTCATCACAAGTATAATGCTTACACTTTGGAAAAGACTCACATTAATGATACCAAGTCTTCCAACCTAAATTATAATTCAAACTATAGGGCTATTTCTTACCAGGTTCTGGGAGGTCTAACTTTGCCCGCTTTAGTTCTGCCATAGAAATCTGAAGTTGCTCTATTACAAAATCATCTTCAAAGAAAAAGTCTTTCGCTAAAGTCTCCTGAAGAAATTCTACGAGTTCTTCCATAGACAATTTCATTAGATGTTCTAAGAAGGTATGAGAGAAATACAAATGTTGAGTCAAAAACTGCTTTAGGTTGAAAACATATTTTGAGTACTTTTTAAAAGTGGCTTTAAAAAGAACATATATCACTTAAACATGGCATTTAAGTATCACTGAAACACAGTGATACAAACATTGTCTGATACTAATATAGTCACATAAAAGCAGGTTTATTTTACTGGAGGTTAAAGGGGGAGAGACAAATATAGCCAAGTATTTTCTTATTGACTTAAGGGTAACCATATCTAAGCACTGATATAACCCAGGGCAAGAGCTTCATAGAGACAGTAGATACAGCCACCCAGGAAGACATGAGGCCTTTTTCTTCTTGATTCAAAGTTCCAACAGCCATAGGCAAATCCACTTTTAAGTCCATATTTATTAAGTGTTTCAGAATTTTCTCAGGAACACATTAATTTCACTTGTGAGTTTTATTTTTACTTATAAAATGAATTTTATTGGAAAAAACCTCAAACTACAGACACAAAGCAGAAAGTAAACATCTGTTGAGAATATACCACTCAATACCCTACAAGCTGATGTGTCTATTCCTGTGTGTACATGAATTTACAAAACCAAGTTCTTCATTTTCCTGCTTTTGTTCACATACAATAACATATCACTGTTATCTCTCACTTCAACAAATATGATTTTGTACCATCATTAATAATGACATCATAGTGCAATGTATGCATTATAATTTGTTTAGTCATTTAGAATTGGTCATTTAGATTGTTTCTCAGTTTTTTAAAGTACTGTATTTAAAGCCACTGTTTGATAAACCTCCAGTAATAAAGTCTCTATTGTTAAGGTGAACAGGAAGAAAGAGAAAAAAATTTAAGCATCACCTAACTACTGATTAAAGCGCTTAGAAAGGTTTTTCTGTTTTCCTTGAATTGGCAAATGGCCAATTTTTGTTTTTGTATTGGCAAATGAAAACTATATACATTTATGATGTATGTGATGCTCTGATACATGTATAGCATCGTGGAATGATTAAGACATACTCATCACTGAACATACTTATTTCTGTGATGAGAACATATGCTTTTGGGGCAATTTTTTACTTTGGTATTAATTATAGTCACTATTCTGTGTAAGAGATCCACAGAAAGTATTCCTCCTGCTGAAGAACTTAGTATCCCATGAGAAGCATTTCCCCATTCTTCTTGTTCCTCAATTACTATTCAATTTTATTATTATTAGTGAAGGGAATAAATTTAAGTCCTTGCGTTTTGGTTCCCTAAGAAAAAGACAGAGCAGGAGATAGGTTTTTCCACAGAATAGTAATGATATTCTGCCAGATAAAGTAATTTCTGTGATTAAAGTTTATTTACAAAGGGGGAGGAAACTTCTCACTTGATCAAGGACCTTATAAGTAAAATAAGAAGGACAAAGAGCTGCAAGGAAATGTAACATGTTTCTGCTTTTTCACTGTTTTGAAAAAAAATTAACTAATATTTCTTAATAAAAAGTATAATATTGTTCTGTAATTTGGTCTACTTATGATTCAGAAAGAGAGAAAGGAAGTAAAGAAAGTGAGGCAAGGGTGAAGAAAAAGAAAAAAAAAGGGATTTCACCTGGGTCATTAGAACCTTGAGTCTTAGAAAACAATTTGTTGTCATGCTTTAGTCTATTTGCTGGGGAAACAATTTTGGGCCGAAGGGAAACGCTACTCTTCTGAATCCTTTTCTTGAAAAGTATAAACGATACAGAGATATCTTGTATTGGGAATTCTCATTTCTACATAAAGTGTGGTTAACATGGCCCTCCTTAAGTTCATTCTGCTCAAGTAAGCAACCCCACAATCCTGTATCAAAGTATTTAACAAGTACCTGGAATAATGCCAGGCACAGCAAACATAAGTTATATACATGGCCCCATGCACTCAACTAGCTTACAATTTAGTTGCTTTGCTGAACAGATCATTCAAGAATAATGTAAGAGAATATAAAATGAGCATGAAACCATGTGGTGTGGCCTAGATTATAAGTACTTCACGAAGTTCTAAAAGCTCTCTATATAGCTCCTCCTGTTTAAAGTTGAATTAAAACTTTAAAAATGAATATGGGTCTTCATATTCATAGAGAAAAACTCTCATGTTTAAATAAGTCATAGTAAATCAAATTTACAAAGCCCTTGAAACACAGTAACCCTTAATTTTTTCTTTTCCTTCCAAGGAAAATATCTGTGTCATTACAAATGCAGTTTGTACTTGTCCACCGGCCATGACACAGCGGAAAGAGAGACGCACCTGTAAGCTGCTCACCAAAAGCTTGCAGCTGGATGAAGCAAACTTGTAACAGAAATGTCCTCCCCACTCCCTCCCTTAGGTTCTTTGCTTTCTCTGTTCTATTACAAAATTGTGAAATTCAGACTAATGAAAACAAACAGTGGGTCCGCTGGAGACCATCACTTAACAAAATACTATTAGTGAAATTAGCAAATGACACTCTCATGCTGAAGTGTGAAAAGACCTTTGCAATGTCTCTCAGCTTCTTCTAGTCACAGGAAAGAGCCAATGAAATGAAATTACCAACTAAAATAATTTTTTCATTGATTTTTCAAGAATTGTTTTTAAACCACTATTAAAGGAATGAATGTGACAGACTCAGGGTTTATTAGAATTAAAATAAGCCTCGATATTTTATAAAATCTTTACAGATATTTTCTTACTTTTGTGTAATTTTAAAATTGTGTAAGACATAGCAGTAAGAACTCGTTCTCCTTCAAAGATGTAGATATCCCATATTCTGAGGTTTAGCGTAAAGGGAGTCTGTAATTAAAAGCAAAACAAAAGAGAAGAAAGGTTATTAAGTTTCCCCTCATCTTGTATTTATAATCTTATAATTAAGTTTTGCAAATAAATACTTACACGATCAAGGAAACACTGAAAAAACCACTTCATTGTATAAAAACTTGTATAGATTTCTTGTGAATCCTGAAAAAACAAAGACCTCAGAATTTCTGGATTGTAGCAAACAAAATACGACAATATAAAAGTTAGAAAGCTGCTGGAGGTAGGTATTAGAGCTAAATATAAAAATATCTTGTTATAAATCATTTCATGCTATTTTCTATTCTTACTTTTCCTTCCAGAATTTTACTTCTCAAAATTATGCTAATAGGTTCCTCCTGATAGCACAGTAATACATTTAGATATCTGTCAATATATTTTATAGGAAAGTATATGTATAGCCATTAGTTTGTATGTTTTTAAAAAGACCTCAAAATTCGGACAAATCACTTATTTTTAAAAACTTTAATGTGTATTTATCAGTGTTAGAGAAAAAGTTGAAATGTATTAATTAGGACCATAACAGAGCATCGATATTGAAATTTACAAATTTACTATCCTTTAAATAATGGGAATTATAAGAGCATAATAAATGAAATGGATAACACTATACAGTAAAAGATAATTGATCAAAGACAGAATTATTATAGCTTCACTCTTGATGGAGGTGGGTATAAATCAGTGACACATCTACCTACCAAGTGTTGTTTAAGTTTAGACAGAAATTTATTCAGTATTTTTTCATGATGTTCTTGAAACCGCAAGAGTTTAGGAAAACCTTGGACAAAAAAGCCTAGAATACAAACATAAAAACAATACTTCAGAAAAAATAACAATAAAACCCCCAATTTAAAAATGCAACATTTTCTTTCATTTGTAATTATCAAAAATAAAAAGAAACATCCAATAGCTACCAAAATACTTTTTCCTTCCTATCAAGAAAATAACTGTAAACTTTGAGCAATGAAACTGTTAGCTAGGATTTGTTTCCTAAAGGTAGTCTTTATCTTTGTAATATTTTTTAAAAAGTTTTTTCTGAGTTTAAAAGAAAATTAAGTTATTAAGAAAAAATGGAAACATCAGATTATCTGTTCTTTTAAAGACAATTAGCTACATCTAGAAAGACTAAATTTTTATAAGGTTTTCTAAGCTTGACTACTCACCCCCTTGCATTATTATAAATTAATTACATAATCATTTATTACTTTTTATGCTTGTTCTTACAATTTTACTAGTATGTTTCCAAAGTTTGCATCAATTCTCAATCCTGTCTATAAAAACTATATTTAATGTCACTTAAAACAGTCATTTATCATCAATGCTACATCAAAATTTCTATTTTATATCAACTGATTACATAACTGGTAAGATTTCTAGGAACTAAAGAATTCTAAATGGTATTAATTTGTTTGTTTGTTTGTTTGTTTGTTTTGGTACCGGGGATTGAACTCGGGTCCTTGTGCTTGCAAGGCAGGCCACTGAACCACTGAGCTAAATCCTCGGCCCTAATTTGTGTATTTAACTTATTAAACTTTGTATCTATTGTTATTCACAAGTTTCCTTTCAGATATTTAAACAATCTGTTTAAAAGAACACCCTCTCTTAAGACTTTACATTAGTATTTTCCAACCTAGTTTTTATATAACTTCTAAAGATGTTAATAGATGTTCTCTTTTTTAAAAAGGGGGGGGGTATTACATACACTCTTGTTGTATATTCATGAAACATATTGCTTATTCATGTTCCTAAGCTGTCTTTTAGATTTAATGAAACTTATTTTGCTTTTCTTAACTCAGTCTTCCAGACTTATATTATCTGAGTCTATTTATTCCACAACAAAGTATGTTTTTAGAAATTAATCTATGTTCCTTCAAGAACCCAAGGAACACAATACTGGGAAACACTGCTTTAGAGTCTACTAGGCAGAACTTTTCTTAACTAGTTCTCAGTTATTGAAAGTGTAAAAATTTCCTCAGATACAGAGTCTATTCCTCCTTTAGTAATATTTCCCATTGAAGCGATTTCATAAAAAATCTACAGTGCCACTTTCATGGTCAACTTGACAAGAATGGGAGACAGAAAGAATTTGATAAGTTTGATTTGTTAAAAAAGTCAATATATTTCAATAATAACTAGCTCAAGGATGCTAAGATACTTAACTTTGTTCACTTCTCAATGGTATCACAGACTTAATATTTTAAATTTCATCTTTTCTAGTCCTAGCTCTTATTCCAAACATTTAGAAATGGTATCACTTTTACATAGAAAATGCAGGTCAGAGGTAGCATTTAGCAGACAGACACAGAAACAAGTATCTGCACATATACAAATGCATCTATAACTTATCCTGTACTGTAAATGCAAATGTTAGAACATTAGAATGAATACTGCTTTACAGATAAGAATCATGACAATCATTGCTGTAACTAAGCTAGCAAAAAGGTTTAAAAGAAACAAGTGTTTCCTAAAATGAGTTTTCTACATAATTATGTATCACTTCAATTTTAACATTCCATTGTACCTCTAGACATTGGCAGCATCATTGCATTGGAAAGCAAAATAAAGACTAATAAGGAAGAGTTCTTTTTCTTCAAGATGTCTTTTTAAATACTGGTTATAGGATGGCAACTCAATATAATAACATATCTGTCTTTTACAGTCCATTTATGGAATGCAAAATGCCACACTTAACACGCAGGCAGTATTTTTTAAAATAGTTGGGAAGGAACACTAAGAGAGATACACAAAAGCAAACACATACACACACACCCCTACACACAATACTCCACAAAAGTCACATGGTAAGACTGTCAGGCTTAACAAATAATGGATATGGAATGCCATAATTTTGAAAATATTAAAGAACATTTTCACTGTCAACTTTCCCACCACATAAAGCATAAGTATTCACAACGTGAATTTAGATGATCCATTCTAAGAGTAACTAATGTTAAAAATGTTTTAAATTTGATATTATCACATAGATGTACTAGAAAAATAATTTTACATTTTACAGACAAATGCCACTTTGATTTCTTAGTTGCAATCCAGAGTTAAACTCTTTGAAGTAAAGCTTAATGTATATACTTAGCCAAATAAGGAAAAGGTGACTAAAATAATCTCCTAATTTTAAAACCAAAATTATGCATGTTTTGAAATATTTCAAGTGCTCAAAACATTTTATCAGCTTTTATTTAAAATGGAACAAAAGTTGTGCTCGCTTCGGCAGCACACATACTAAAATGGAACAAAAGTTATGGTGGGAAGAACTAAAAGCCACATTTAAAATATAAAAATTACTTAAATACTTTTCCTCTACATTGCTAAGTGTCATTTCTCAACTAATATTCTTTGACAAGGAGTTACATATCACAAGACCCAAAGGTAATATTTTGCTCAAGTGATAACTGCATCAAATCAAATTTTGATCAAAAGAGATCTTTTGTTTTGTTTTGTTTTTTTGGGTTTTTTTGTTTTGTTTTGGTTTCGTTTGGTTTGGTTTTTTGAGACAGGGTCTCACTATATAGTTGAGATTGACCTGGAACTTACTATGTAGCCCAGGCTGGTCTTGAACTCACAGCAATCCTCCTGCCTCAGCCTCCTGACTGCTGGGATTACAGGCGTGCGCCACCATGCCCAACCAAAAGATACCTTTTATTTTTCCCCATAATGTAGAGCTTTTCCTAAATTCTTCCAAACCTAAATTACTTTCTTTTGACCAAGAACAAGAAAGAGGAAAATTTTAAAATGTCAATACACTTTAGGGAAAAGACAAAGAAAACTCAATGTGAACAGAAAAGCTAGAAAAGGACCAGGGGTTTAGCTCAGTAGTTTCATTGACTGCCTCACAAGTGCAAGGATCCAACTTCAATCCCCAGTGCCAAAAAAAATTTTTAAATTAGAATAAAAGGAAAAGCTAGAAAAGATAAAAATAAAATAAAATAAAAGGAGAAAGAAGTAACAAATACTAATTAACTGAACAAATTCTGAGGAATAGTTCATTGTGTTTAATTCTACCAAGCATCTTTGATTTTGCTTTAATTCATCTTTTTCCTTCTGTTATTTATTATTTATGATAAATATGGAGTTTTCTTACCATGCATGGCATGCTTGGGGCCTGAGAAGAGTTTGACGAGGGCCCAGAAAGCATCTTCCTCGTTCATGTACATGAGAAGCAGAGCTGTGATTTGGCTCATTCCCTGACAGTACCCAACTTCCTAAGAGCAAATGAGAACAACACACTGGGGAGTTTAAAATCGAATGGCATGTGAATGCACACAGAAAAGGCTGAACTACTAAGTATCAAGAACACATTACGTAGTGGGCAATTCTAGAAATAACTATCACAGTCTTTACAGCATTCTGCCATATATTACAAAAGAAAGCTGTGCTAAGAGTAAATGTATAGGTGTAGAAAAGTCTGATCTACACTTTTTAAAGCTGTCTTCTGTTTGATACTGCTCCACTTTCTTTAAAGATTACTACTATTTATTTCATTTTATGCATGATTCTTACCTCACCATTCCTCTTTTTTTGCTCAGATGCTGGAACTGTCCCCTCCTCCTAGTCTGTTTATCCCTTATATTTCTAGACTCTTAACTAGATACATAGCCCATCTAGGCTATGTCCCCTCTCTTCACAGTCCCTGCTCATGATGTGGCCTTAGAGACTCATGTTTGTATCACAGGATCCACAGCTGATGCACATATGAGAATGCCTGGCCGCAAGAGAACAAAAAATTGGTTTTACTGATTGATCAGCACTCTACTCTGCCTAGGAAATTTGTACAAAGCAAGAGAAACTGTAATCACTGAGGTTTTGTAGGTGAACAGCATGATCACAATGAGTCTGGGGGTGAAATTTTAGTCATAGGGTACTAGAAAGTAGGCAAAGGAAATAATCTGGAGAGGTAAACACTGGGACAAAAATAGTCCATAGAGATACTCAGATTTTTTTATGACCTTCCACTGGGATAGAGAAAAGCAAAGCTGTCTTTCTCATGGTATGCTTATCACTTTCCAGTTGCAACCCCTGTGAGGCCCTGCTACTGCTTAATTTCTATGAGAAATCCCTTTTAAACTTACCCTGGAGGGAGCAAATTTCTGCTCTCATAATATATAAGTTGTAGATACAATAGAATTTATAAATCTCAAAGTTCAAAGACTGTCCTCCCCGGACAACAAATATTTATTTAATATCTATGTTAGGTTTTTCCCTAAATTATTTTCTCCCCCGAGAATGGTAAATGCCTTAAGGGAAGTATGTCTATTTCCAAAGAGTTTAGTCTTATCATATCTCTACTGGGCCTCACTTAATAGACAAAATGTGATATTAAAAGGCAAACTCCTAGGAATAATGAAGAGCTATCAAGAGTCAAGTTAAAATTAATCTAGCCATCAACTTTCTGTCCTGCTAGGCTCATTCCTAGTCTTTCTTGCTTAAAATACAAACAAAACAACAAAGAAACTCTATCCACAAAACAACAAAATAAAATGGAAAAATAAAGAGTGAGAAAGTATGGCTCACTGGCATACTACGGTCATATCTAGGTTTTCCGGGTGTAAGTCCACTCTGCTGCTCTAGGACCCCAGCATTACCACAGGGGCTACAAGAGGGTGTGGAAGCCACTTGGTCTGAGATGAAGAGCTGCACCTAGACGGACCTCAGAACACAGTTCACACAACTGGGCGGGCATGCTCTAACTTACCGTATTATATATAGAATATGCCGCAAGAACATGGAATAAAGACTGTTGCCTAGAGAAATAAAAAGTTATATTAAACACAATTTAGTTATTTCATATACTTTTCAAATTATAAACATAAAAAGCTGACTGAAAACAAACAGATAATCCAGATAAAATTGCTACTGTAATACAGAACTTCTCCTAAGCTGAAGCTCAAACAATACTTTAGTCTAAATTTGAGAATAGAGAAAAGGCCTCAAAATTTCTTTAAATCGTTTCCCTCCTTCACTGAACTTACTCTGAAGTAATCCCAATAGAACTAGCTACTGACTTAACAGGATGGTGGCATGGCCTTTTGAAGACGCCACAGTACCAGCTAAGATCAATACCTGGCAGGTCACAGGCAATATCCTACAAGAGAAGTTGGTTATGTTCTACATTATCCTCAAATAAAAGGTGTTTTTTCCACAATCAGGAATCAGGAACACAAGATTCAAAGCGTGGAATGGCTTCACTCACTCTTAACTCTAAGGATTCACTAGTAAGTTTCAGCTTCCTGTTCCTACAACCTTGGGGTCTGCTGATCTGGAGGTCGTAGTTCCAGAAGAAGGAATGTTTTCATTAGCACATATAACAATGACTGAACTGGAAGCTAAAAGTGCTGTCTAAACTCTCTGAGCTCCTAATGCCACTGTAGGCTCCTTATACCTCAAAGGGCAAAGGAAGGTGATTGATCCTGATTATTAAGGGAAAAAATATTATCCAAAGGACAAAAGAAGGAATATCTGAATACAGGAGACCACTAGGGCATCTCTTAGTATTACCCAGCCTTGTCATTAAAGTCAATCAAAAACTACAACTAATTCAGCAGGACTGCTAATGGTGCAGACTGTTTAGGAATTAATCAAGTTTGAGTCACCAAGCTGAGGTACTTGCTGAAGGCAAATGGTATATGGAGAGCAGTAGAAAAGGGTACTCATAAATACCATTTATAACTATATAAACACTTGTAGAAATGAATATAATTGTTGCAAGTACTTCTTCCTTTTTATGGTATGAATATTCTATGTATATGTTACATGTAGTTTTTATTTCTCTTATCATACATTCATTATATGATGTATTAATAGTTAACTTGATATCACAATGTTTAAGTTACAGGATATCAAAACAAGGACTTAACATCTACTTGGGAAAGGGCCAGCATGTTTTCAGTTTTAACTAGAATAGTTATATCATGCTAGAAGAATGACTTAAGAACAGTGTGAGGAGAGGCATGTGAGTACTAAGTTGACAAGAGTGGATTATGATGGTTGACTTTGGGTCAATTTGACTGCAATCCTCGATTATTAAACACTGATTCAGGTGTCGCTGTGAAGGTATTTTATAGGTGAAATAAAAATTTATCATCTGTTCAATTTAAATAGGGGAGATTATGGCCGGGCATGGTGGCACACTCCTGCAATCCCAGCACTTGGGAGGCTGAGGCAGGAGGATCGCTGTGAGTTCGAGACCAGCCTGGGCTACATAGTGAGTTATCCAGGTCAGTCTCAACTACATAGTGAGACCCTGTCTCAAATAACCTAAATAAATAAATAAATAAATAGGGGAGATTAGCCTGGGTGATCAGGATAGGCCTGATTCAACCTGGCTTCCCTGTATAAGAAATTCCACCCAAGGACAGAAGCTCTGGTTCGTGCCTCGGAATTCTGGCTTATCCTTCCTGGCGATCTGCTCTGTGGATTCTGGATTTGCCTATTATCTCCGTAAGTGGATAAGCCAGTCTCTTGTTGTACATCTGCTACCGGCTTCTGCTTCACTGGTTGAACCTAACTGATCACAAGCCAACAAAACTGCACATTTCACTCACAAACATCACAGCAACGATGTGTCGATGTGTAGTAGTACTAATGCCCTGGCCGTACACTTAGTTCACTGATTTCTCATTTCATTCACTTTCATTTCTTTAGTTTCTTTTATGCATAAGGTAAAGTTACAGAGATGACTTATCAGTGACAATTTTCAAACACAATCTCATTTCTTTTCTAAAACTCTGAATAAAAGAATCTATTATACTTTTATTAAATTCTCAGACCATAAAATGATTACTAATTTTATACCACTTATGTCAAAAGTTTTACACTAAGGACTCAACTGATCTGCAAAAGCTTAACCATGTAGGATGTAAATCAAAGGATCAAGATGTATCATGTATAAGTACCAAAACCAAGTGGATATATTCACTAGGTATTGTAAATATATATTAATTAAAATACTTTAAAACCAAGACTGTATAAGATATCCTAAGCACTCACATTTTAACCTAATAGACTTTATAACTACCCCTTACATTGCATAAAATTAAACTTTACTTACTTAACGCCGTATCTGTCTCTAAACATAATATGATCCCTAAATGTACGGTTGACATCAAGGTCTATCTGTCTGATATCAGGTGAACAGCCCCGTGCTCTGTGTTTTAATTTCTAAAGAAAAAGAAGGGAAGAAAGCACATTTTTATGAGATGAGATCACTTGTTGACAATCTATGATAATCTATGACAATCTATGTTTCTCATTTAAAACTTGTTCTTTTTGTTTAGGAAAATCATTCCCACAGTTAAAAAAAAAAGCCATATAAAAAAGTATACAAAGAAAACCTTTCTTTCCCCTCTGTGCCTCTTCCTTCACCTTCTTCCCCTCCCATTATGTCAATAGTTAGATTTTAATTCAGGACAGGAAATTTTCTGGAGTTTCAATTAGTAAGACTATGCAAAAGCTCTTCCTGAGTCACGTGGTCTACTAAGACTTTTGTCTTTCCAACACTAGATTTGTTTTCCTTGGAGCTAATCACTGCATCTTGATTTGCTTCATTTTCTACACGCTGGTAACTAAATCAATTCCAAACTCACTGTAAACTACAAATCTCCTTTGATGTGCGATAGAATATATATTCCAAGAAGTGCATCTTCTGGAAGACTTCTCTCCCACAGCGGTCTGCCCTGCTCTTGCCTCGGCTGCTTGGCTTCCAGGATGCTGCCCAGCTCGGCTCTTCACCATATGCTGGGCTTCTCTTTGCTCTGCTCTTGGCTTGGGTCCCTGACTTCTGGGCCTCACATCTTCACAGTCTTGGTTTCTTTCCTTGCTTTGAGAAGGACACATTCTCTAATGGCTCTTGTCAAAGGGTATGTGGAAGATAAAAGTTTCTGAAACCTCTACTGCCTGATGATTATACCCCTCAATGAACTGTTTCATTGCCTCAGAATTGTAAATTGGAAAATGTCTTTGCTTAAAAGGCACTACTTCTTTGTCTTCTGGCCTTTCATATTGCCACGTGAATTCCTGTATGGTGTCTCTTTTCCCTCTCTGCTGTTTTCTCCATGTTCTGAAGATTCCCATTCTCTACTTGATTTGGATCTATTTTTATCCACAGGTATGGGAACTGGTAGGTCCTTTCAATTGTAAAAACTCATAATCATGCCTCTTGGCTCTGAGAAATTGTCTTTAGTTACTCTTTTGTCAATTTCCTCATTTTTCCCTCACCCATTGCCATTTTTGTCTTTCTGATTATTACAATGTGAAATCTAGGCGGTTATCCATTTCTCTTGTCTCTATTTCCTATTTGCCTTTAAATTTTATTTTCTGAGAAATTTCTTCAATCATTACTTCCAATTAGGTTTTTCAATTTGCTTAAGTTTTCCATTTCTAATATTTTTATAGTCATAAGCTCTCTGTTGTTCTCAAATGTTCCTTTTTATAGCATCCTACACTTGTTTTATGGATGTAATATCTATTTTATTTCTCTGAAGATATTAACAATAATCTTTTAAGTTTTCTTCTTGCTCTGTAGTCTGTTTCTTACTAGTTTCTCTTTTTCTATTTGTTTTGATGTTAGACCTTTCCTCAAATGTAAAACTTTGGTGTCTGTTTTTGTTTGTTTGTTTGTTTGGTCGGGGATTGAACTTGGGACCTTACACTTGCAAGGCAGGCGGTGGAACCACTGACCTAAATCCCCGGCCCCATGTGTCTGCTTTTAACAGTAAGACACATGTGGCACATGCCTGAAATCCCAGTACTCAGGAGGCTGAGGCAAGAGGATTGTCATGCATTCAAAGCCAGCCTGAGCCACACAGTGAGTTCAAGGCAAGCCTGCACTACAAAGTGAAACCCTGTATCAAACAAAACAAAACACAGTAAGACAATACAAAGGCTGTGAGCCTGGGGGAAGGCAGCAGAGTCAGGAAGCTTCACAAAACTGATCTTTGGCGTGGACTGAGCTGGCTAGGCAGTTGAAGTGGGCGGTCCCTGGAAACCAGTTTATTTTCTAGAAGTGGGCATGTTCCCTAGAAGATTGCTTCCATCTCTTGCCAGGAAGATCAACATCTTACTGCCAATGTCCTGGGAGTGGAGTTGAGAGACTAGGCTATCCAAAATTTGAGATATCCCATTCCTCTGCTTTCCCGACAGCCGCTCACCTCAGTGGTATCTGTGCTGTACCAATCCAAAGGCTCTCTCCTTCACCCTCTCCCACCAATGAACCTCCAGCATTGGGCCAGGGCTAGGAGAAGACTTCAGGGCTCTAACTGCTTCTGAAACAGACCTTCAGCCAGTTCTTATTCACAATCACCCTCACTTACAGCGGTACCTACAGCTGGCAATTACCAAGCTTCTGGAGATTTGAGATACAAACCATGTTGCTCTTTCAATTTCCCACTGCCAGACTAGAATTTCGCTTTCTTGGGCTTAAGTATACTAAATGTCTGTCTGCACTCTGGCTTCCAAAAGTTTGCAGCTGTTATCTCTTTCCATATTTTTCTTATACCTTGTGGGTTTGCCTTATAAAAAAAGAAAACTCTGCTGTCAATTTAATGGCATTTCAGGGAGAAGGAAGTTAAATTATGAGTATGTTTAATGCCCCACGTTTAATGTTAAATCTATAAATAACCACGTCTAAGTATAAGCATCTATATACACATTATATTGATCCATTTACCATGTACTGGTAATACAGATTCCTGCTAAATACACATAAAAACATTAATTGCTAATCCCTCATGTAAAAGTGGAATAAAGGCTATTTGCGTACGTCTGAAATGTATGTGATCCTGAGAGCATTTTGTGAGTATGTGCGTTTTTGTATTTTGAGGTAGGAACTCAGAGAAGAACAGCTTCTATAGCTTTTTAAAACATGAAGAAGAGGCTGGGAGTGTGGCTGGGTCAGTGGTAGAACACTTCCCTAACATAAGTGAGGTCCCAGGTCCCTTCTGCAGTTCTACAAAGCAAACAAAAACTAAGGGATAACTACAGTATGCTCCAGCATTCTGAAGACAGGATATTTATAGTCATACAGCCAGTAAAGAACTACTGCATGTTATTTCTGATAAAAGTTGGTTCAGATGACACTGTACAGATAAAGAATAGTCTGTACATATTTGGTCATTTAATATCTTTTCTTATTAAAAGTGATGGGTAGGTACAGAGGTTTTGATTATTGTTCTACAGGCCTTGTGGTACACGATGAGACACCAAAACATAGGAAGAAATTACTTGACATAACAAAAAATGCCCTGAAATAAAATTTAGTTGAAAGACGGGAAAGAACCCCAACACATCTATAATATCAGCTTCTCTTAAAGACAAGAAAGTACATCATACAAAAGGTCTCATGACAAAATTAAAGCCCTGTTAGGTAGCTTAAAAAAATAAGTCAGAGGGGTTATATTCTCAAATGTTTACAAGGTAAGGTACAGAATATAGTCAATCAAGAACATTTCTTACCTCCTCAAAGGAGGTAAACAGTTTTCTACAACTATCTCTTGAGAACATGGGTTGTGATCCACGAAAATCACATAATGTAAGAATAAGCACTTTTATTAAAAGAAATGGGATTCGGGCATGGTAATGCATGCCTCTAATACCAGCATTTTGGGAAACTAAGGCAGGAGGACCACAAGTTTGAGCTTAGTCTGGGAAACTGAGCAAAACCATGTCAATCAAATCTAGTGAACCCATATACCTAGGACAGAAGTACAACGATATTTAGGAAAAAATTTACAAATCTCTGTGGTCTTGACCTACTAGATTACAGCCAGGGTAAGGCTGTAGATAAGTTTGTTGACCACTATGGACTGACTCACTTCTGTCTGTAAGGTACACTGCTAGTTATAAGAGAGACAAATACAAATGAGATACAAATAAAAGGAAAAAGCAGTAGATAAAGAGTAGTGACTCAGAAGCCAGAACAGCCTAGGTTATAATCCTACCTCTGCATTTGCTAACCCTTGGATAAAAAATTACTTAACCTCATCAGTTTCCTTATCTTTAAAATAAAGACAATAATGATGATAATAGTAAAGCCTACCTCTTGGTACTATTGCTATAATTAAATGAAGTAGTTCATATATCCACATATTGAAATATCTGAATAAGGTCAAATTTTCTCAACGTAAAGTAGGTACAGTGTTTGAACAATACAGCAATATGAAGCTTCATATTAAAACTAATCAGACCCAAATCAGAGAAGTTGTTGTCTCCTCTGACAACAGCTTTTGACTACACCCACTCAGTTTTGTGTGCTCTTCAGTAACTCATACGACGCTGCCGTCTAATAATGAGCACACACCATTAGACAGACTTGAAGGACTGAATGCTAATTAATATGCAGGCTCCAAATAATTCCACCCATCTGAGAAAAATCTTGGTAGATCAAGAAAAGGTAGCTTTTCTCCTACTGAAGTTCCAGTTTCATGGAGGTGTGTGGAGAACCCTATATACAACTTTCACAGAACAAGTAAGAAAGAGTGGTCAGCAAAGGCTCACACAATGATGCTAGGGAAACTCAAATATGTAGTAAAAATGCTTAGGATTGTGTTGAAAATTATAAGCTTGAAAGTACCAGCGATCAAGTTACTTTTGTTGTTGCTATCAGTTTTTATTAAATTATTCTCTTATATTAACCAATCACTAGATAATAGTATTTCCACATTTAAAAAAAAAAAACCTATAGTACAAGTGAAAACTGTGGTTTATTCCCTTTTGTGGGAATACCAAAGTGCATCTTGTAAGTGGTTTAAACTATAATATTTTTCAATATATTCTAACTTAACTTGCTCTCCTTATAAATCACTTCTCATCCTTCTGGCTAAGATTAAGCATAGGAGAATATTTCAAAATCTACAGATCTAAGTAAGATTCTTCAAAGTAAATTTTTTACTCTCTTCAAAGTTCACAGAAAATAGGTTCAGAATGGGTAGAGCTAGCCAGGCATGGTGGCGCATGCCTATAATCCCAGCACTAGGGAGGCTGAGGCAGGAGGATCGCAGTGAGCTCAAGACCAGCCTAGGCTACATAGTGAGTTCCAGGTCAGTCTCAACTATATAGTGAGACCCTATCTCAAAAAACAAAACAAAACAACAACAACAACAACAACAAAACAAAAACAAAAAACAGAACGGGCAGAGGTGAGATGACAAGGAGGTAAATTTCATGCATTGCTTAATTTAAGAAAAGCATTATCGATAATTCAGTCAGAAGTTTAACATTTTACTAATACATAATAAATCTTAGAGATAGCATAATAATCTGGAGTCAAATTCCTTCTTATACTCAGAAGAAATAGAATCATATGCAGATAAATGCAGAATAAAATGAATTGTTATTTTCCCATAGACTCTAAAAAGGACATTACAAATCTCTTCATTGATACTACAATCAGGTTTTAGTCGATTTTTCCTTCAAATATGCCCCAATATTGATGGATCATTTTAAGTACTGTGATTAATCATTTATATATTTGAAAAATACTTAATACTCACTGATTACTATAGACAACATTTTTACTGAAGTATTTATGTGAAATTTGAGACTAAAATAGATAAAACAAATCATATACCTCTAAAACCCAATCCAATAGACTTTTGGTATAATCTTAAGTAATAAAAAGAATTTTACAATACCTTGAAAGCTAAAATAAATCATTTTACTTTTTTATTTCAAAATAATAGTTTAGCTACTCACATTATAAAGGTCTCGTGTTTCTTCTTTCATTTTAGGGATCTCAAGAAGGAGAGCCCAGACTTCACCCCGGAGCTGGAGGGGGATTCCTTTGTAAATTCTTCTGTGAAACTTATCAAAAGAAAAACAAACTAGGGATTACAAACTAACAAAACTTAGAGGAGTCCCTTCAAATGACGTTATTAATAATTTTTGGTCTTTTATTTTCAGAGTATCCATGACAACTAAATAATGGTCCCCATGCTATCACAGGGCTAAAATTTTAAAATGAGACACACTTGGAAAGGACTGAAAAAGTACTATGGCTATAATGTCATTATCACCCACAGTAATAATTATTCCAACTTTTACTGAGCATTTACTATATGCAGGAAACTATTTTAAGACATGTCCTGATATCTTTAATTCTGTCAACCACTTTGTAACTCTTTATACCAATAACTCAATTTTACAGATGTGGAAAATGAAACTCAAAGAGGTTAAATAATGCCCAAAGGCACATACAATATGTTACCAAATAGTGAAAGATTACTGACTTTACAGTACATAAAAAAATAGGGATCATCCTTCCATGACCATAAACAATAGAAGTTTAGGAAATTTTGTATTAAAAGAAGTAAGAATTGTATCAACGCACAACAGTTACGATGAATTTACTTATTCCCCAGAACAACAGTCCAGCTCACATCTGTTGTTGCCAGTTAACAAAGTGGTGCTTCCTATTTTCTACAACGACCCGGTAAATGTAGGCACAGCAGAATGTTCTGCTTTGCATGAAAGGGAACCAATCTACATAGAAGTGGCTGGCCCAGGTCAGAGATCCATCAATCTTCTTACTTCAACTTCAGGGACTCTCAACTATACTACATGGCCTCTTACAAGTTACAGTTTCATTCTGCTTCTTTAGCAGAATTTATTAGTAGAAAGCAAGAGCCAGTTGACTCTGATTCAGTCTTAACAACTATGATATAGAATCCTATATGCTGGATTTTAACAATAATTCAATACTCAAAGTATCACTTCTAAAATCTTTTACAAATTTATTTTATGGATTTAATATATAAAATCTTACAGAAAAAGACGGCTGACCTCTACCTTTCATTGCCATTATTTTTGTTCATTAGCCAATAAAATTAGTCTACTTCAGTCCTGCTAATAAATTTACAAATCCACCAATTTTTTAAAAAGTTCCATCAAGTGACCGCTCTCAATACTTTTTTCCATCTTACGTGACCTAAAAACAGCCATAAATTTGCAGTATTTCGCCTGCCAATGAGTAAACTTTTCAGCCCAACAAGACTGGCTCAATTTGGTAGCACTGTTAAAATTGCAAGCATACTTGCAAGCTCAAGGTCCTGAGTTCGATCCCTGGTGCCCAAAAAGAAAAAAAAAAATTCTTTCAAGCATATACCAGGAAACAATCACCTCTAACTATACCTGCTCCACTGGTTCCTTCGTCTCTGCCTTCAAACAGCACAAGTCTCCCAAATCTGGGCCTTAAAGGTCCTACTGCATTTCATAACTATATTCTATTCTATTATGGCCTTTATGACAAACATGAAAAAGAAAGGCTTGACAAAGATGGAACACTTAAATGAAATCCAGAGTCTAGATTTGGAATCTTTTGCTTGTTGCTAACAAGCTATGTGACCTTGAAAATTTTATTTTTAAATGATGGATCTCCATTTTCCAATGAGTAAAATAAAATGTTGGACAATATGGTCTCAAGGGCCCACTCAGTCATTAATCAACAAAGAAACATACATATCTATAGTGGGTACTAGGCTGCGACAGATGTCAGACACAATGATGTTACGACTAATTAAATTATAATGGTGTCGACTTAACAGAAATAACTTCATTTAATAAACTACACTTTGCTAAGCATGGTGGCACACAATGTATGTACTTCCAGCACTCGGGAGGCAGAGGCAGGAGGATCGATGTGAATTCAAGGTCAGACTGTTTCTTTTTCTTTTCTTTTTTTTTTTTTTCTTGGTACCAGGGATTGAACTTGGGTCTTTGTGCTTGCAAGGCAGGCAGTGGAACCACTGAGCTAAATCCCTGGCCCCCAAGGCCAGTCTGTACTACAAAGTGAGATCCTGCCTCAAAACAAAAAACCCAAAGAAAGATTTATCATGTACAGATACACATTACCTATAATGAATGTTATCATTATGTATATCTAAAAGGTACCAATAAATGTTTTGCTTATGTAAAAAAAATAAACTATACTTTAAAATACAATAGTTCTGTCCATAGGGAGTCACTGTGAGAATACACAGGCAACACAACACAAACGTAACCTTTTTCCATTAAAGTTTTGGCTCTAAAAATCAAAATTCTCTCTATCAGAGCTATACATTTTATTTCAAGATATTCTTAAAATTTGTTTTATTACTATGAAAATAAGGAATCTGCGGTGAGAAAACCTACTTTCCGCTGGAAAACAAACAAACAAATATTCCATGCTACTTTTTACTTCAAAGCAATTTAAAACAAGGTATGCATTGAAAGCAGTAATTCTTTTTAAAAGGTTCATTCTCTTTCACACCAAATTAAACTATATATATATATATATATATCATCAAATTATTCTAGTATTATAGCTATGGAAGAGTGCTTTAAAATTACACATCAAAGAAATAGTTCTGTTACAATCTCTTTTAATGAGAACTGCATTAGCCAGAGTTGCTGTCAGAATAATAGCCTAGCCGAATTGCTCACTTACAGAGACTTACATAATTTCACAGATACACGTATACTCAAGAAGAACATAAAGCCATATAATTTTACAAATATTTTATTAGACTCAATGTGAGATTAAAGTGCAGGCACAATGCATGGAAATTTATCCTGCAATTACCATTTGAGCTCAAAGACAAGGTAAAGTAGCTGTCAACGGCAGGCTAATCTGCACGGCAGTACACTGTTAAACAAGAGCATGGGTGTTGCACGTAATCTTCTACTTGGAACTGATCTGTCTTAAAAACACCTTGAGTTCTAAACCCTATGTTCAAACAAGACAGTTAAAATCAACAGTATACAATGAGCAAAATAAAAGAATCTGACTTTAAAATAAGGATATTTAGGCTTCTCACAAAGGAAACAACCTTTGCCCTGTGAGATACCCTGCAACCAAAAGACTTTGTAACCCTGTAACTGGAGGATTTCCATCACTAAGTTTCTTGTTCCCCCTTAAAAATTCATGTTTTATAATATTAAAAACGGAGGACTATGGAAAACAAACCTTGCTTAACTTTGTTTAGCTCTGATTTTCCCAACTCTATACTTAATCAGAGCCCTTTCCTCACCTAATAATAAGTTGACCATACACAGTCAAGTACTAATCTGTGTGTTTTATTAAATTATTCTCATGTTATACATGAGCACACTAGAGCAGTAAAAAGTAAAATATCTTCCCCAAAGTCATACAGCTAGTAAGTAGCAGGGCTGGAGTTTGAGCCCAGATAGTCTGGCTCTGACTTTTCTCATCCTCAAGGCTACACAGCTTCTATGTTACATCTATCAGAACCAAAGGAACTGATGCTCTCTGGAATTCTTACTGGCCAATGCTGACATGCATATTTTACACCCATAGGAAAAAACATACACACACACACACACACACACAAAGTGTGAGGAAATAGTAACACACAATTTATTAACCGTTATCTCAGTTGTGTTTTGTTATAGGTACAATGGATGATTTCTTATTTTCCTTTAAGTTTTTTTTTTTGTTTTTTGTTGGTGGTGTTTTTTTGTTTGTTTGTTTGTTTTTTTACTATCCAGCATTCCTTCAAAAAATTAACGTTGGTAGTTAACATTTACTATATGCAAGGTACAATGCTAAGTACATTCCATGCATTAACTCATTAAATCTTCAACTCTTTGAAATGAGTACTATCACTGCCATTTTACAGACAAAAAATGTCAGTGGTTCACAAGCTATGGTCTATGAGGTCAAAACTATTTTCATAATATGACTAAAATGTTATTTTCTATTTTTACTATCCTGACTTCTGCCCTGGTGGCAGAAAAGCAATGATGATAAAATACTGCACTCTGACACAAATCAAGGATGTGCTGAACAAGAAATCACTCTGTTCTTCACTCAGTTTTTAAAAAGGTCAGTTTCACTTAAGGATCCCCTGGATGAAGCACTCAAAAAAATTAATTTTATTAAATCTCAGCTCCTGAGCACACAGCTTATTACTGCGCTGAGTAGTGAAATGGAGAATACTATGGGACTCGGGCTGCATACTGAAGTAGGATGGTCACTCCCAGGATCGGGCATGTAGGAAACTGAATAACAATTTGAACCAACTGCTTGTTTTCATAGAATACCATTATCACTTAGAGGAACAAGTGGCTAACCACATCTACATGACTGTACAGATCTGAGGTAGTATTTGGCAGACATTTTCTCCAAAAAAATGAAGTGAGACAGCCACTTGAAGGAAAATAACTTACACTATATTTGTTGCCACTGTTAACATTTGACCTTTGAAGCAAAAATTAGAGCTTTCAAAGACTTACACCAGCAGGAACGTGACCATTTTCCTTTAAAGACTTTTCTGATGGGACTGATACCAGTATTAATGGATGTGTGTAGTTTTCTTTAATTGCTTTAACATGTTCCTGTCAGCTCAAACCACCATAACTGTCTCATTGGGTGTCTCAGAGGAACAAGCCAACGGGACAATCATACATGTGCCACCAGTGGGAATGTGTTATAATTTAGCAGACACAATGCAGGACAAAAAGATTTAAAGGAGATTGCTCTGCTTTAAGAAAAGTGTTCAGGGGCCAAGGATGTGGCTCAGTGGTTCCGCCACTTGCCTCATAAGTGCAAGGTACCAAGTTCAATCCCAGGTACCAAAAAAAAAAGAAAGAAAGAAAGAAAAGAAAAGCGTTCAGTGGCCAGGCATGTCTCTTTTTCTGACCAATGTGATGTGTGGATATGAAGCCTGAAGGTGCTGCAATGATTCACACCCCAAAAGGTAGCCAATCTCATCACACCAATAGTGCAGAAGACACAGAACAGATATAACAAAGTAAGTCAGAGGCAATATAACTGAGCAGTTGATTAAATTACTCCTAAACTCATCCTACTGCTGGAACATTCGACAGACTCTCCTAATTGCTGAGATCAATCTGGGTTAGCTATTTGTTACTCACTCTGAAGGAATTTTGCTAAATTAACTTTTCAAAATGAGTGTGAATGCAATATTTTTATACTTGAAGAAAAATTTTATTGTGAAAAATCCACATTGAATTTATAGTTTCATATAGAAATAGCATCGTTTTAAATTACCTTTTCAGTGTTCTTGTATTTTTCCCATCCTTTTAGCATTTTCAGCCATTTGGTAGTTCTTTCAATTTCCAGGTGCTTTTGCTAAAATAAAATTGAAATTCACTGTTATTGTTTGAGGCTTCTTTACTTATAAATTACAAAAAAATATTCAAAGAGAACATTGCTTTAAAAGGACTACTAAAAATGTCATTCTGTATTAGATATCAAATATCTTTACTTTTGGAGGTTGAACAATATTGGAGTGGTGTCAACAGTAGCCCACAGCTAAAGTTAAGAGCCCTAGGGAATGCTCTATTTAGATAAAAAGATACAGAAAGGTATGGCTTCTATTTTCTAAAACTTTCAAGCTAATCAAATCTTGAGTGTTCTACATATTTTTAAAAAGGAAATTTTAGAATACTCTGAAATATCTTTTATGAAGGAACAGGAACACTTTCAAATTTCAACTCTTTTTCCTCATTTTCTATCATGTTTTCAATGAAAGTTAGCTTTCTAAAGGAGAACTGAGTATTTATTTATTTTCGGTATGGTTACTATATAACTAGCCCTACACTAGAGAAAAACTATGCAGAAGTGAGGCACAGGTGTTGCCCTAAGGAGCTCACTAGGCACTCGGGGTAACCCACATGGAGAGACACAGTGCTACAGCAGGTGCTCTGCCACAGAAACAGGTAGGGTAACCGTAAGTCACAGGGAAGGAGCAGTCAAGTCCAACTAGGATGTCCACAAACAAGAGCCACAAGTGAAGAATGAAAGATTATTAGGGTTTTTATGAAGTGCAAAGTGGGAAAGAACATTGTAAGTAGATGCGCAAGCTCATACTTCTGAGATCATTCGCATACCAGGGACTGAATGAGTTCCAAAGGGTTTTGAAAAAGGAAATATCAGGAAATGAGGCTAAAAAAGTACACAAGCATTTTTAACGTGACACAAAATTAAGAGCTGGGGCCAAGCTAGGTAGTGGTAAAGGTGAGACAGAAAATGCCAGCTCCTGATCTCTTTGGTTTTCAGAGGAAGACAGAGTTTTCTGCTGAGTACTTGGGCCTGTGAGTATAGTAAATGTATGAATAAAAAGTGATGGAAACAGAAGAACACAAACAAAGGAAAATAATTCTGAAGATAGGTCTTATGCTCAAGAATATATATAGAGTGCCCTACAGCCTCATGAGGGTGTGTCCATCTCCACTTTAAAATGAGGAAACAGAGGTATGACAGGCATGAGAGTAAAAGGGGCTCAGAGCAAGGCAGTCTGACGCCAGGATTTACATTCTTAGCCACAGCATTTTCCGTCTCTGGCCTCTATCCTCATAGAGGCAATCACAGTTCCTGGATGAAAACAACGGCTCCTTGCTGACTGGCTTCAATCCAGCCTCAGACAGACAGGCATTGTGGTGGCAGATGGCTTACACTACCACCAATATTTGTAGATCTAAAAGAAACATAAAATCTGCCCCCCATCCAGAATTTAGGAAAAGATTCTCATTGATAAGAATATTTTTACAGAATTTTTATTTTAGCTTTATCTTAAAACTCTAACTTTTCACTCCATTTAAAAAGTTTCGATATTTTTTCAAAATAAAAGATAATTACTCATGAGCTAAAGACATTCTGTTATAATTCCCATTTTTCAAAAGGCTAAGCATAGTCTTCATTATATTATTAGTGATAAAATGTTACAGATGGTTCCCGAAATATGTTTAATTTTAAAACTCAGTGGGGCACTGAAATCTAATTAATGTTTCTGCTAAATGTGACTTTAGAGAAGGCCACACTGTGAAAAATTAAGATTGATCTAAACCGCAATTTAGTATTTTTTCTGTTCTTCTTACTTTCCCTAACTTTTTCAAGCATAATTCCTTTTCCCACTAACAGAAAAACACCAAATAATTCAAACCAACCCAAGAGTATAATAACACACTTTGCCAGGAACAGCCCTGCTGCGATCTAGCAGATCTCTTGCTATCTTTCATTTTTATGACTATGAATTATCAACGAATTACTTTAGAAGTAGTCATTCTGTTTTTTTAAAATACACTTTTGTATTCTAGGGCTTATATATATGGATTGTTTTAAATGCTATACATTTTCTCACTGCAAAACACACACATAGATGTAAATTTTTCAAAAACCATTCAGTGTGCTTTTTTGTCCCATACATTAAAAAAAAAAAAGTTATACACGAAAAATCTCCCAGGCTATAGAATTTTAAAATTATCATTAGACTGTGGGGAGAAAGGAACCCTTCTCCATTGCTGGTGAGAGTGAAGACTGGTGCAACCACTGTGGAAATCAATATGCAGATACCTCAAAGAGCTGGGACTAGAGGTTCCATTTGACCCAGCCATCCCTCTGCTGGGTATCTTTCCAAAAGAATTAAAAGAATCATACCACAGTGATATATGCGCACCTGTGTTTATAGCAGCAGAGTTTGTAATAGGTAAAACTTGGAAACAGCCCATTTGCCCATCTGTTGGAAACTGGATAAAGAAGATGTGGTTTTTCTATAAAGTGGAATACTACTCAGCCATAAAGAATGAGAAATTAGAGTCATTCATAGGAAAATGGATACATATTGAGGATATACTCCTAAGTGAAATAAGTAAGTCACACATGTATAAATACCAAATAGTTTCTCTGGTGTGAAAAACTATAATAGTACACAAGATCCTAATGGGATAATTAATAGTGTGAAATAGGAAGAAAGGGGCTAAAGGTGTAGGGAAAGTGGGAAGGGTAGGGGAAAGAGAATAAGGGAAAAGAAAAGAATATGAGAAAATGAAAAAATGGAAATAAAGTGTTTGTAAATGGGGAGGGGAGGAGGGGGTGAAGGGAGGGCAGGGACAAGGGCAAAAATGAGAACCAAGACCTGTCATGTGAAGGAACAGGATCCCAGTAATGAATGTAACTGTATTGTAGACCTAGATTGTACCAATACATTCAATAAAAGAAAAAAAAAGAAAATTTTAAAAAATTATCATTAGATCAATCAAATTTAAATGTTAACTCCATAGCTGTCAGTTCAGCATTGAATGCACATGAACCTTTTTTTCCCTACTCCTAAATCTCTAATTTATGGATAAAATATACTTTCTCACCAAATAGGCTGAAGCTAACTACTCTAAAAATTATCTTGACGATAAACCAAAAACAGGGCCGGGTATGGTGGTGCATGTCTGTAATCCCAGCACTAGGGAGGCTGAGGCAGGAGGATCGTTGTGAGTTCGAGACCAGCCTGGGCTACACAGTGAGTTCCAGGTCAGTCTCAAGTACAAAGTGAGACCCTGTCTCAAAAAACCAAGAAAAAAAAAAAAGGAAAGAAAGAAAGAAAAAGAAAAAAAATATATTTGACAAACGCAGAATTAAGTGCTCTAGAAAAATAGGCTCAGGAATAAGGAATATCAACGTATTGTAGACCCAGCAACACCAAGAAGAAACTAGAATACAACAGCATATTAACAATCCTTACCTGAATGGTTAAAGGACACATTAAACTCAACATATCCACGGAGTTTCCCCAAACATGCTGCTGTTACCCTTCTGTTTGTTCCCTGATGTGAATCAACAACATCTCTATGCACTCAATTGATCAAGCTGGAACGACAGTGCTGTTTTGAGTCTCCCTTTTATCTTATTTCCCACACAGACTACACGGTGCTGGTCTCACCTTGCGTCTCATTTCCATCCTGTCCTCGGCACTCGCTCAAGAAATCACAGTTTCTGGATGAAAACAATGGCTCCTTACTGACAACCTCATATTCACTTTAGCTTTAACACTGCCCACTTTTTAAATATGTCCCACTTTAAATTCCTTCACTGGCTATTCATTCTCTACAAGTAAGAGTTCAAACCACTTAACATGATGGTCCTTCACAAATGGCCCTGACCCATCTTCCAGTTTTACTTATTGCTACTTTTACAATCTGGCTATCCTGAACTACTTATCTTTCCCAACACACAATGTATTTTCATGCCTCTTTTGCCAACAGTTGTTATTTGTCTACTTGTGATGCTCTTCTTCACTGTCATTTGGCAAAATCCCATGCATGCTCAAAAGTTCAAAAGGTCTAAAACCTTGAACAAGGTCTAAAACAGCTCCAGGCTCCCAAAGAATTAACTATTCCCTCAGTTTTCAATGGCATGGGCTAAGGACCCAGCTAAGCTGCATCCAAATCTGAGTTCTGTACCTTCCTATTTGTTGAGGCAATTTACTTAATTCTTCTATGCTTTTGTTGTTTCATCTGAAAATGAGAAATATCATGATTATTGTCATAGCACCCAACTCTTGTTTCTAGCTGTCTAACTACACAAATCACATTATTTTGAAGTTATGAACTCTGGCCACAAGAACTGTATCATATGCTCACCTTTTAATTTCATCATCTAAAACAACGGTTGTTAGTTACCTAAGAAAATTTAAATAAACATCTTAAAATCAAACAGAGTTTACATTGGTCCACTGAATAGCACCACGACATAATCGACAGTATGCTGTGGTCCCACGGTAGAAGGTTGTGAAGGAGAATGAATGTGAAGAGATTACAGTAAGGTTGTGTTTTGGTTTTTGGTGTTTGGTTTTTGGGTTTTTTTTTTTTTCGGTAAAAAAATCAAACTCAGGACCTTGCATTTGCAAGGCAGGCACAGTCAGTGCCACTGAGCTAAATCCCTAGCCCCAGACTATTACTTTTGATAGCAGTTTGATCATTGGAATATAGAAATGGTGGAAGTAAATGATCACAGTATCTCTTACATGACACAGTAGAAACGGAATCAGTTCGACCGACATTTTTCAAAGAACTACCACAAGTACAACTACTGATTTTAGAAGTGTGTACAAAATTGATTCTGCTGGTTTTGTACACAAACATGTTACTGTTTTCATTTTCACTTTGGGGGAGGGATGTTCCTGGGGATTGAATCCAAGGTCTACACACTGAGCTTTATCACCAGCCTCTTTGTTTTTTTTGTTTTTTGTTTTTTGTTTTTTAGGCAGGGACTCATTAATTTGCTAATTTGTGCAGGACCCCAGGCTGAACTTGGAATGCTCCTGCCTCAACCTCCCAGATTTCCAGGGTTACAGGTAT